TAGGTCTAGGTCCTTGTCATGCATTAATTTAGGCTTAATTTAGTATTTGTTTGGTATTGTTTCCTTTTATTTTTAAATTTTAATTTTTATAAATTTTATAAATATTGAAAAGTGAAATTAAAAATAAAAAATTTAAGTATTTGTATAATAACACTTTCATTTTTTTTTTGCGCCAAAAATTTAGCAATTCGATGGTAACCAAAATTAAAAAACCAACAAAAAAAAATTAAACACAAAACCTGACTTATTTAGTAAGTATTCAAAACAAACAACCAAAATTAAAACTGTGTTTAGCTCAAAAAATGCTTTATCTCTATTGACACCTATATTTAAACTAGACTAAAAATCAAGAATTTCTTTTTATAATGAGTTCTTAATGTCAATTTCTATGCTCATGATTTACTTTATAAATATCTTTTTTTGGTATGTTAAAATGATGAATTATATAATAAAAAGACAATTCTTTCCTTTCTGCCCCTCCTCATCCACTTTATAAATATTATCAAGGTTTGAATGCAAACATACAATTTTAGTACTTGCTTCTTCTTTTTTCATTTTTTTTTTGTAAAACATTTCCAAAATCTTGGAAACTTCTTGTGAACACATGTCATTGGTTTTTTTTTTTTTAAAAAAAATGAGTTTTTATTAAAAATACTGTTAAAATTTTGGCAATAAAAGCAAAAAATGAATAACGAGCTATTTGTGTTTTTCATTTTGGTTAAGATAAATATTGCTTGGTTGAAATTGCAAGTCAAGGTCCTTGTTGTCCATAATATTTATGCAAATGCCTTTAGGCTATTACAACGAAACTTCAAATAATGACTAGGGGTAACGAAAATAAGGACCATTTTGCGATAGTCTTTTTCAATGCTGACATTAGATATATCTCATTCTTAAAAAGTGAATACAATTTCACAAAAGATTAATTATATGATTGAGAAAGAAGAAAACTGAAAAAAAATTGAAAACTTGGCAACTAAGTAACATAATTGAATTGGATAGTGACTGGTGTATATTATGATTGTATACAATGCATATTACATCTTTTAAAAATTTATTATTTTTTATATGAAATTAAAAATAGATAAATTTAAAAATATAATCATAAGTACAAAATGTATGAATTAGTTAAACTGATTGTTCTTTTATTACTTATATTATATTTTAATAGATGAATTAGGATGAGTATCAAAAAGTGTATTGAACCTAATGCGAATCAATCATTTTTCAATTGAATTAACAAGATGCTCTAGGGGTCCAACATTTTTATAGAATAATCCAAAATTTTAAGTGTTCTTTTATCTTCAAAAATCATTTTTTTTAATGAGAAATAAAATTTCATTGATATAAGAAAACCATAAGAATTCCAAAACCAATTTGAATGGGGCAATATGCTAGAGATTTTACACTCATAAAATGCATGAAAATGCAAAATCAAATAATTTAATAACTACAAGAATATTGTGGCTAGATCCAATTTTAAGATTTAGCAATTCACATTTTAGCATAATCCATCCAAATAGAAGATAAATTGGTTGGGGCAAAAAGTTTAGCTAGGGATTCCATCCCCAACCATGCCCTCAACAGTCAAAACAAATGTGACAACCAATCTGGAGTCCAACCAATATCGCATTCAAGTTGCGATCCTCCTCCTACAAAAATGAATTTTGATAAAAAGATATCAAAAAAGTCAAGGTAGAAGCCCTTAGAAACGTTCACAAGAGAGGAAGAAACTCTCATAAGAAAGGAGAAAACTCTCACCTTTAATCTACCCTAACCATTGAGGGAGAAAGAGACACCAATGCCTAAGGGGTTAGCTTCAAAACTCTTAAATCATAATTCAAGAGTTGCTTTGGTGAGTGGAAGGGGGTTTAGATCCCGCAGTTGAAGAAGGTTGATTTTCTTATCATCTGACTTGTACTAAATAAGGGCTATTGCTTGCTAGTAATATAGTAACTCATAGAGCTTGCATAAAGACTTCCATATAGCTAGTGATGTTTAATTGGTAGTCTTTATACTTGGTAACCATATTATTGCCCTTATAGCGCTTAGTCCTATAATCACTACTATTAAATAGCTTCTTATTTGTCATTGAATGATTCGTTTATGAGTGTTTAGCACCTTGGTATTAGATGTCATAGGTTTAATTCTTGTTTCTCGATTGGCTACTATTTAGGGATTATAATTCATTGTAATATCTATTTCTTTATCTATTAGTAAAATCACATTACTTAATTATTATAAAAAGCATTTGGGAAT